ATCCATGAGCACGGTATATCTTTCCATTTATTAGTATCTTCTTCAATTTCTTTCTTCAGTGTCTTATAGTTTTCTGAGTACAGTTCTTCTACTTCCTCGGTTAAATTTATTCTTAGGTATTTTATTCTTTTTAATACAGTTGTAAATGAGATTGTTTTCTTAATTTCTTTTTTTGATAGTTCATTATTGGTGTATAAAAATGCAACCAATTTCTGAATGTTAATTTTGTATTCTGCTACTTAACTGAATCATTTACTAATTCCAATAGCTTTTTGGTGGATGTTTTTAGGGTTTTCTCTAAATACTATCATGTCATCTGACAATCGTGACAGTTTTACTTCGTCCTTTCCAATTTGGATGCCTTTTTTCTTGTCTGAATGCTATGGCTAGGACTTCTAGTGTTATGTTGAATGAAAATGGTGAAAATGGACATCCTTGTCTTGTTCCTGATCTTGAAGAAAGAACTTTCAGCTTTTCACCATTGAGTATGATGTTATGGGTTTTTCATATCTGGCCTTTATTATGTTGAGGTATGTTTCCTCTATCTCCATTTTGCTGCGTTTTTATCATAAATGGATGTTGAATTTTGTCAAATACTTTTTCTGCATCTATTTATATGATCATATGATTCTTACCCTTCATTTTATGTGGTGTGTCACGTTAATAGATTTGGGGGTATTGAACCAACTTTGCATGCCAGGAATAAATCCCACTTGATCATGGTGTATGATCTTTTTAATGTATTGCTGAATTTGCTTTGCTAATATTTTGTTGAAGATTTTTGCCTTTATGTTCATCAGGGATATTGGCCTATATATATATATTTTTGCAGAGTTTTATCTGATTTTGGTATCCTGATAATGCTGGCCTTGTAAAATGAGTTTGGGAGACTTTGCTACAATTTTCTGTAATAGTTTGAATGTTTGCTAAGCACTTCGAAAATTATTTTCCTGGTTTTCATAGTCAGAAATTATAGGGACTCCTTCTCAGCACTAGAGCCTCAGGCTGGGGAGCTGGTGTGGGGCTGGGGCACCTTGCTCCTCAGGGGGGTCACCTGCATCCTAGATATCCCTCCTGATTCTTAACTGCCACACCACGGGTGTGGGACCCGCCCATTCTGTGTCTCCATCCCTCCTTCTAGTCTTGATGTGGCTGCTGCTTCATATCCCCACTTATAAGAATCCTTCAGTCTTCAGGTCTTCTTAATGAGGGCTGTTCTATAATGTAGCCGTAATTTTGATGTGGTTGTGGGAGGTGGCAAAGCACAGTGTTTACCTACGCTGCCATTTGACTGGAAGTTGATATACTGTATTCATTACCTCAGTAATGAACAGCTTTATCAATCACTAGCCAAATATACCTTAGGCCCTCACTTTTGCATTAATTCTATTAATAGTTGATCTATATCAGACTTGAGATTCAACGGAATACCAAGGGAATGTTATCAAACACTGAGCTAAATTGTCAAAAGTACACTACGATATTTGTTTAAATCTTTTAGGCCTTCTGGGTACTATGTATAATTTCTGGGTTAATCATAGAGAACAAGTTCAAAACACATACACACAATTCATTTATAATGTGCCTCTTACTCCAAAATACCAAGATATCATTGAAGTGCTGAACTTTTGTTAATGTTTAGTATTTCATAAAGTTCAAAAATAAATATCACAGATAAAGACTTTATTAAAAGTCACCTAACAGTAGGATAGCAAATACATTACTCGGAACTTTTAATAGACTCCACTATAGTTACACCAACTAAGTGGCATTAAGGAACTTATGAAATGGGCTTATTCAACCCATACTGTTGAATTTCATGTCTTCTACCTTTTCATGACCGATGAGTGTGACAATGAGATAATGCTAGCCAACATGCGAAATGAAAAAGCACAATGTCAGGTCTGGGACTCTGATACAAATTTTTATAACTTTTGGCTACATGATCTTGGGCAGGCTGTTTAACCACAGGAAATCTTTCAGAGGAATTTTGTATGAATTTCAAGAGGACTTGACATGGAAGTTCTTTGTAAAGCCAGTGTTTCATAATCTAAGCAGGGGTCCCCAACCCCTGGGCTGTGGACCGGTGCTGGTCCATGGCCTGTTAGGAACTGGGCCGCACAGCAAGTGAGCAGCAAGCAACCGAAGCTTCATCTGTATTTGCAGCCGCTCCCCAGCGCCAGTATCACCGCCTCAGCTCCACCTCAGATTGTCAGGCGTTAGGTTCTCATAGGAGTGCCAGTCTTCACCCTAGCTTTGGCTTCAACCATTAAAGTGTGTGGTTCGGACATGACTCTGGAATCAGTAATCTTTCTAGCGCCCTGTGCTTTTCCTGCCTGCTCCCAAACCATCTGTTCTGTATTGCGTTCCTTTAGGGTTTGCTAGGAGGTCAATCATTTAAGTTGATAAATGTGTTAATACCTAGAGGTCATAACTTTGTGCATTATTTATATGGGGGTCTCCACTACAGTAGCCCTCAACAGGAGTGACACATCTGGGGATTTAAAAGCACGCTGGCGGGTCCCTGGCAGCTGCTTTGGAGAAGGTCCCTGACGATGCCTCCGAGGTCGCCGCGTAGGCCAGCACCAAGGACAGCTTCGGAGGGAGCCCAGCGCAGGTTCACTTACCTCCACAGGGCCCAAGCTTCCAGCAGTGCTCGTAAGCAGTAGGGGCCATGGCAACGTACTGATTTATTTGGGGTATAGTGGTCAAAAATCCTTAATTGAAAGTAGCCATGCGGGGGGGGGGGCGGAGATTCACCCCAACTTTGAGTTTTCCTTAAAAACAGGAGCAGATTAAAACCCCGAATAAGGCACTCATCCCATTAACGAAGGTAAACACGAGATCAATGCATCTTATTTTGCAAAATTATTCGAAAGGCCCATGATGGAAACAGTGCAGGAAGAAATAATGATGCAGCCACTCCCTTCTGCCGCGGAGCTGCTCTGAGCCCCCCGCCCCTTTCCACTGTTGATTCTCAGGTCTTTCCTTCACCACCACCACCAAGATGTCCACGTTCACTTAAGACAGTAATTTACTCATAGAGGAGACACACCTGCGCCTTTTTAAATAACCAACTTTTTTTTTTTTTTTATTAGAGCAGATACAGTTGTGAAAACTGTACATTATCCATTTTGGTTTCAAGGGTTATAAATAAAGGAACTCGCGGGTATGGAGTTCTTTTTCACAGCAAGAAACTTTAAACAAAGTCATGTTGTATTAAGTGCGTTGGCAGACTCCGTGTGCTGTCCAAAATGCAGAGTGCAGTATAACAACCCATTAGAAAGAGCCTTTCATGTAAAATACAGCTGTGCACATTTTAGAAAAATACCAACAATTTGAGCTTTGTTTTAAAAAAGCTTATAAATCATACATATATTTATAAATGGAACCAACATGCTCACTGTATAAACATATCCTTTAGTTATGTTACCCATTATTTCAAAGCATTACACATTTTAAATAAACACTTATACGATTAAATATTTTATTTTACTTTTTTTAAAAAAATCAGCTTTCCCAGCGTAAAGAGCTATGGGGTCAGGAAGGAGAAGTGAGAGACTGACAAAGGAACTTAAACGTTTCTTGGGTAAAAACGTACTTCCTAAATTTAAAAGTCAAAGCAAAATGTAAAAAATAAATAAATATACAAGTTGTAATTTTCATTTGCTCTCTCTCCGCTTTCTTCTTTATTCCGTATTGGTCACACCCAGGATTCTGAACATATTGTACTTCTGCATAAAACACTACCGGGTTACTACCCTGCAGGTGACAAGCATTCAGTCCACACCTGTGCTAATGTGTGAAATGTCTCTTCTGCATTGAAAAGGTAGCAAATAAGGCAGAAAGAATCCGATTAAACCATGCAGATCGTGAAAATATTTAGGAATAGCTCCCTCTCCGCAATGTCATGTTTCATAGAGATTTAACAGAAACTTTTCCTCCCCTGATTTCTTTTGACATAATCGCTTTTATAAAGACCATATAGTTTCTTGAAGTAAGCATGCTTCTGAGTAATAAAGGATAAATTATAAAACAGCAAAAAAAAAAAATCAGATTGTGTCAGAATGACAAAGGACTGCAAAAGACAAATATTTAAACAAAAATGTCTAAGCCTTTAAAGTGTGAAATAAAATTACAAAAGGACTTGGAAAAACACGAAAAGGCATAAAACTGAGAAGCAGTGATTTCACGAAGCCCTACCTGAATACATTCAACAAAAATTTTGAGTTGGAAGAAAAGAGAAAGAGCATTTATTAATAGCATCTTGCTTAACTTTCATGGGAATTAACGCAGCCACTGACAAGATTTTATTTGGTTGTAAAGTACGTCAGCGAGGAAACCGAATCCTTTGGACACCGATTACCGCAATCCAAGAGACGTTCGACTCTACCCCTTAGAATTCTGTTGTCTTTCAGCTTTTAAAACTTAGCACCTCCTAAGTGCACAAAGAATTCATCTCAGTAATATTAAAAATATTTAAAATCAAATTTCTTAGCAAGGGATAATGCTTTCAAATTGCTAAACGTGGAAGATAAGTAGCGTTTTCTAAAGGGTTCAGGAAGACTGAATGACATGAAAAAAGATGTTATCAAAATCAACACGTTTTTCTCTCGAGTGGTGGTGTTTCTTTTTCCCTTGAGATGCAACACGTCGCGTTTTCGCCCGGCCGGGACCGCGCGTCGTAGGTGACTATGCATCGTTATTTTGCTAAACAGCAAATGTGAAGGTAGCTGTGCACAAGCCAGCGTCCCTCCCAGCACGTTCTGGGAGGCGTGAAAGCAGCAGGTCCTGGCATAAGACTGGTGAGTGATGCTGCTACCTACTTCTTCAAACAAGGCAGGAGTGAAGGCTGGAAGCACGGCCGCGGCAGCGCGCTCCTCCGACCGCGCTCCTCGGCCATCGTGGCTTCCCCAGCTCCCTACCGAAAACGTCAGATGGTAAAATAGTAAGGCAGCTGTTGACTTCCATCAAAAAAAAAAAAAAAAAAAAAAAGCTCCATACATTTCCAGTTTAGTCACACTCCGCTAGGACAGATGGCGCAGCCAATGCCAAGAACTTCTCCGGATGGGGCTGCTTCAGCAGATTTTAAAAAAGAACGGTTATTAAGGTTTGCTCTCCGACACCGCTGCTCGCTTCAGCTCCCAGAGGACCCCAAAGCCACAAAGCACTCCCAGGGGGAACCGAACAGGTCCTCTGGCTGAATTTTCCAAGTTTCCTCTCTCTGGCGATCCCATCCCAATTCCAAGCCTCCTTCCCCGTGTCTGAGTCTGACTGGGCCGTGTCATTTTAAGGGCTGGTGCCACGACTGCGGAGAACTGTGGGCCAGCGCCATCGCTAGCTGTCATGACTTCACTGAAGGGTCAAAACAGTTACATCACTTAGTAACTATGTTGAATCACATTCAGGCGCAGCCAAAATTAATGTGAAGGACCAGATGTAGTTGTGAAAAAAAAAAAACACATGAATTTGAATACGGGAAGAGAATGTTATATTTCGTGACGATTGTTTAGAAATTGAGGCTATTCTTACCTTTCCTAATTCCAATCAAGTTAGAAAGTGAACGAAAAGGATGGCCAGCCCGATATTCAACAGCATGACCAGGACAATCATGACCGAATTAGGGCCCTGGAAATGAAACAGAACAGAAGCAGCGTGATGTTTCTGTGTCAGTCTCAGCATGTAGATGAGCTCACAAAGCCGATTACCAAACCGAACAAGCCAGAAACAAAACCCAACACAGTCGTGGGTAAATAAGGCGCGGATAACGACAGCAGTCAACCCCAAAATAGCAATGCCGTTTTTAGATGGAGCCACCTCTGAACTTTCACTTAAAAACGAATCCAGTCTCGGTGAAATCTAAAAAAACAACTTAAAAAATAATCGGCTTCATTCACCTCAAAACATCGGGGTGAGACACAGTTCTCGGTCCCGGGGTTAGGAACTGAGGGGAATCAGATATGCAGTTTTTGGTAAGACGTGATCCAGACGAGGAAGAATGATTTCCTCATAAAGGCAGAATGTGGGAGTAAAATCTGTAGGAGAGGGAGGCCTCCCAGGAAACATTTAGGAAAAACTCGAAACGAGGCTCTCTGACTCTTGCTTTTCCTGGTCGTCGTTGTGGACACGACCCGTTCCTCCAGGTGAAAACTGCAGGCGAGAGGTTGAACGCTTTCACGAATTATTTTATGGGTCTGATTTTTTGTTTCTCCGCTCAAAACCACATTTCAGAAATCCAGTTACATTTAATCACAGTGTCCCATTTTGATAAATATTACTGTAATATATACCATAGCCCAAGGTACCCAAACTCGTTTGAAAAAAACAAAGCAGCCTTATAAGACCCATCTTTTCAGATCTGTCCAAGCTTGGCTATCTTTATGACAAAGCTACTCTCTTGGTATTATTAAAACAGTTGTCTAGTTCTTAAATAGCATTACAAGTGATCTAGTGCTGGCCTCGTGATGTTACTGGGGAGGTAGTTTTGTTCTTAAAGACGAGGAAACAGTTGTACTATGTTTGAATATCCAGTGCGACTACATCGAAACGGTGTTAACAGTTCTCGAATGCTGTACTGCTGCTGTTTTCGGGGGGCCTGGGCTGCGTGAGGGAGACTGGAAGGGCCGCTGCTCCCGTGCTCATGTCCCGGGGTCTGCGGCTCGGGCCACGTGTCCTTCAAGGAGGCCACAACCTCCCTGGCAGAGGTCAGAGTGCGCGTGCCCTTTTTTCTCCATCCTGACACACTTTATTGTCATTTCTTATTAACTGCCACCGTACCCCCTAGGTGGAGTTCATGGTGGCAGGGGCCCTGGCCTGTTCACCCATTCATGGGGGGGGCTGCCCAGTTCGTTCAGGCGACCAGTGTTTAATGGAAACCTGCTACCTTCTGGCGCTTCTCCAGGTGCCCTGGATGTAGCGGCCGAACAGGCCAGTCTACTGCATGAAATGAAGAACAGGGTGACCAGTAAGACCAAGGTTGGGGAAAGGAGGAAATAAAAATGGGTGCCCTTGACATCGGGACTGTTAGAAAGAAGAAAACCCTAGCTCCTAAACCCCAAGTCAATGGAATTAAAAAAAACACAACACACAAACACTTAATGCAGGGCTCTGTGTGCCCGGCAGCAGGCTAAGATTCCTGTGCGGGTTATTTTTGCAAGTGATCGTTAGCTCCATTTTACGGAGCTCTGAGAGGGTGTGCTGCCCCAGGTTACGTGGCCAGTCTGAACAAATGCGAACTAGAATTAGCCTTCGGGCTGCCCACTTCCAAGCTCCATGTTCTTTTCTCTACCTCCCTATTAAAGCCACAGGCCTTAGTTTAGAAATAATTTCCATCAACTTCTCTTAAGTGGCATTTTCATCTGCATCCTATGATTCCATTGTATTATAAAAAGATCAAATTTTGGTAACAACCAGTGGTTCTTTCAAAATAGCTGTGTTCTAAATGAATCACGAGCACGAACCCAGGCGCCTTCTCGGTTATGGCTAACGCAGAACACAGACACCACGCAGGGAAGCCTTATAACGCGGAAAATGCATCGTTACTCAGTGTGGAGATTAAGGAAATCTGGGACGACTTTAAACTTCGATTAGATTTTGCTCCTTTATATGTTAAGAATTTTGGGAGGTGGATTTCATTCAAAAATTCCCAAAGACAGCACCGTCGAGGGGAGGAGGAAATGTAGACAGCATCGGGGCCAGACCGCGTGGAGCTGAGTCTCACAGTGACCCGGGGCTGGGAACATCTCACAGAAAGGGCCTTCAGGGAAGCCAGCCTCGAAGCTCAAGGTGTGCCTGCGCCTTTAATTCCTACCTCATAAATCCTTGTGAGGTTCTGTGAGTTTATCTGGCCTTTTCGAATTGGTTAGCATTTTGAGTTTGACTACGTTTTTTCCTACTGAACACGCGTTTCATATATTTATTGTGCACATATGCTAGTACGCACACCCGTTTACCCTACCAGTTCAGCTCCACTTATAAAGCTGTCTTCAGAGACGATGGCGAAGCAGCAATAAAAGGTTCAAACAGCAACCGGGTGAAAAATAAATTCTGGGACACTGTTTAACAGGCAGAGACCAAGATGTGACCTCTGTGTTCTTCAGATGCCTTGGTTGGGTACAGGGCGAAAAGCTTTCAGGTGAAGTTTCATAAATATGACTGGTGGCCAGTTGTAGCTTAAAATAGCAAAATGAAAAAAAAAATCAGTCTTGCTTTTCAAGACTGACGGGGACAGGTGCAATGAAAGACGCTGCAGCAGGGCGAAGGGCAGGTCTCGACCGGCAGTCAGGAGGTCGAGCGGAGGAAGTCACGACATGGAAAGCGGTTGTGACTCAAGCAATCGATCTTTGTTTTAAGAGATTATCCGCTAAGTTAAAACTGTAAAGAAGTTTCTGCTAACTATGTAGTTTATGTTGGATTGGAAACTTCTCCAAAAAAAAGAATAAAAAGAACAAAGCTTAATTCAGTATTAAGAGCAAAATTTAATGATATGTATTGACTGTTTTTATTGTGCTATGTG